TTTTGGACATAATCTCACTGTATAACCTAGGCTGCCCTCAGACTCTTGGTTCTCCCACCTCAGAATGCTGGGCTTCTGAGTGTATGGCATTGTGGCTTTAAGGATTGTTCTCTGTGGTTTTTGTGTTTTATGGTTCATGGTGCTGGGATGGAGCCCAGAGTGTCAGCTCATGTGAATCTTGTGCTCAGCTGCTGAGCTCCATCCTAGCAGCCATGGGGATCTCTGCCTTTGCATTTTCCCAGAAGAGAGGCCGTAGCTAGTTTTGTGTCAGGACAAATACTGGCTCCCTGGTACTTTCCATAGTGAACATTTTCAAGGCGTTGTCAGCAGGAAAAGGTCTGTTGTATCTGTCCAGGATGTTGCCTCTGTCACTAAGTAGCATTTTTCTCATGTCAGGCTGTGAAATTTACTCTGATTCTGGAAACCATGCCTCCATGATCCAAGGGATTCGCAACAGTCGAGTGCCAAAGTATATCTTCCGCCACAATGATGTCAATCATCTCAGAGAGCTGCTGCAAAGATCTGACCCCTCAGTTCCCAAGATTGTAGCATTTGAAACTGTTCATTCAATGGACGGTAAGTCTACGCTGAGACTAACCTGAAGCCTGAGATGTAGAACCAGACTTGAACTGTTTCAAGAGTATGGTGTGTGGGCCCTGGGGATATAGCTGCAGGTTGTCAAGCTTCTGCTTAACTGTGTATAAGGTCCTGCGCTTCACTCCAGAAACAAACTAAAATATGATGTTTCCTTTTGGTTTTGCATTTTTCTCCGCTGGGATTCTGTAATTGGAAGACGTTATATGGATGGGGTAACTGGGTTTTCTGCTCTGGCTGTTGCTAGACTATGACCTCAAGGCAAACGAGAACTGGGGGAAGCTCCTTTTCCCTCCAGTGCTAAAAATGACCCCACAGAATGTAAGGTTTGCTGCACAGTGGTGACGCACACCTTTAATCCCAGCACTTGGGAGGCGGAGACAGATGGAGCTGAATTCAAAGCCAGCCTGGTCTACAGATCAAGTTCCAGGGCAGCCAGAGCTACACAGAGAAACCCTGTCTCAAAAAACCAAAAACAGAATGTAAGTGCTTCGCTTTGGCTCTAACCACGATTACTAACGTTTTCCTTGACTCTTCAGGAGCAGTGTGCCCGCTGGAAGAGCTGTGTGATGTGGCCCATGAGTTTGGAGCAATCACGTTTGTGGATGAGGTCCACGCGGTGGGGCTGTATGGGGCTCGAGGTGGAGGGATTGGTGATCGGGATGGAGTCATGGCAAAAATGGACATCATTTCTGGGACACTTGGTATGTATGCTTTGTAAATTCGGCCCTTTTACACTGAACTTAGGATGTATAGCAAGACCAATGCCTGGCTGGTCTAACTGGCCCTGGGATAGGATAGGAAGCAGTGTGGTAACATGTAAAGCCTGGACTGTTTCTCTTTGGGTTGAATTTTGTTGTCATGGCCAGGGTCTCAGTCTATAGCCCAGGCTGGCCTCAGGGCAGCCCTC